GCAATATAAGTCGGTGCATGCGAGTGAGCAATAGGTGGAAATTGCATTTACCTTCCACATAATCCACTGTTGCAGTTGATTATGTCCAATTCACCATGGCAATGAGATACTTAGAACTTCGGCTCCTTAAAATTCGTCCTTGAGTTAGATAGAGCTGCGCCAAATCCTTTGAAAACAATGATAGCAAAGTAATTCAGCAAAGTTACCAGCACCTCTTTTTAAGTCCATGACACATCACGACAATTCTGCAGTTACTGGAAGAGGTTGGTTTTGTAAAAAGTAGCAATGCCCGTAAAATTATTTTGGCACATGACTGATTTTGCAGAAAGCAGTTTCTCGAGTTAGTATAATTAAACAAGAACCTCCTTGAAACAATTGGCCGCCTCTTAATTTGGACCAAATAGCTTCCAGGCAAATGATAGGATTTACTCAAAAACCAAGCATAGTACTCAGTGTCAAAATCCAATTTTCTGCAACAACTGGTTTTCAGTCAACTATATTTTGGAAAAATCTATAATGAACATGACTAACAGAAACGATGTGGATGTAATTCAATACCTTACAAAATATTGATTTTTAGCAAATTTATAGTAAAAAAAGAATGTAATAATAAGGTACCCTTTAATACTCGTACTGCTTAAGCGTTCTAAAAATTGAAAATGCCTGAAAAATGACGAATGCCGCATTTGATATACAGGCATGCGCACTTGTAAAGGAAGATTTACAAATCCCTCAAGAAAAGCTGCTGCCGAAAAAGGGACAGGGTTATTTATGCAACCGCTATATTGCTTGCAGGCGGGAGGCGAAATAATCGTTCGTTTTATTAAGAGCAAGTTTACAGAGTTAATGTCAGCTCCATGTAGCACTGAGGAAGTCAAGCGATAACTGGCAAATTTGCTCGGGATGAGAGAAAGCGTGTAGTGGGGCCCAAATCATAGGCCGTGTGCTCTGCCCAGTAAATAAAGGAGTACACAAATAAATACTGCGAAGTCGTGTCAAGTTAAAAGGGGAGAAGGTCTTGTTCAGAAAAAATCGACAGAGTAGACCACAGTCGCTAACTGCTGTAGGCCTGTGAAGGTGAATGTGGAGGATAAGCACTCTGGTAACGCAGTAGATAGCAGGAAGACAGACAGTGGTTAATGTGTGGTAGTAGCGGTGTGTCAAATGAGCACATTCACTGGCGTATAAATTGTCGGTGGAGCTGTAGCTGCCTACATATCAAGGTCTTACTCACTGTCTTCACTTTCCTCCTTCACCGAATATTGTCACCCTAGACAAATTTTT